GACAGAGGATAAGACAAGGTTAGGAAAAACGGTCTCACAATCAACGAGCGGCCAATCACTGGTAGAACAACAGTGCCAGATCTATTGCTACTAAGTTTTGCACTAAGCTAAAAGCAAGCCCAGCTGCCCGGTTCAATCAGACTAGTTTTTCACATGTTTGAAGGCAAAGGAGGAAAATTGGGAAACCAACGAATTATCTGAGGGACAGAAACTGAATATAGGTGGCGAATCAAAATTAAAACAAAGCGGTCTAATAAAAATGAAAATGTTTGTCATGAAGACTGATCTGATATGCATTATGTGAATGATCACAGCAAAAATTACTATCTGGTGTGCCCAACCATGGCGTGGATGTGTGTGATGAATTTGCTCGGCTGATGAAATCCAACTAGGTCAAAATTATTGTACAGCGATCCTCAGCATTTTAAATCAAGTTTACTTTGACGAATATCATCACATGATCAAATTACGTCGAGCCGTAACTTCGATTGGGTCAATGGGTTCACAGTTCTGATGATACAAAACAGGTGTATCGTAATTGTCAGTTATTCGGACTATGTTCCGTTGTTTTCCATAAGCGAAGTCCATAATATACATACAGACCAAAAAATTCTCCCAAGCCCCAAGTCATTAATCGATGAAGTTTTTCATCGAAATCATTAAGTTGAAACCCTCGAAACTTTGTGGTATCCGTTCAGGGTAATCAATCCACTTACTGGTTAATAACTTGTAGTACTGTTTCCGCATTGAATAACCTTGTTAACGTACAACCACGCTAGCAAAAACTTCCCCGAGGCAGTCTTATGTACTAGCATTTAATCAACCTCCAACGGTTTTTTCCTGTACTTCAGTTTTTTCTTCCGCGCATGAAATAAAAGGTGTTTCGATCGAATTGAGATAGTAGGCTAGCCAAGGAATAGTGAGACGACTCTTTGGTGTAGTTTATAATCGGTATTCTTCTCAAAACGATGAACCTAATGTCTGTTTCACATTCTCATTATAGGTTATTGCAGGCTACCATACTGGCTTCATAGATCTCCAAGCACCTATTTATTGCCTAAATCAAATAACGCCAGCCATGCAGTCTAACATCTTCGTGCGAGCAGAGAACTGGATGACGTCACTGCCCGCACCGAATGAAAGCGGATCGATAACTGGTTCTTACCGGATCCACTAAAGAGCCACAAATCTACATTCGGAGGTTGAGGAATTTTTTGATTGTAGATTTGTTTGATCACTTGTTATGATACGGATAGCGGTTAACGGATTGTGAAAGAAATGGCGACAAAGCAGTAAAAACAATCAAAGAAATCACATTCATACGGATAGCGAAGAACGATGTGTACATGTTTGGACCTAGTTCAAGTTGGTCCGTGGTGTGTGTGAGAGAGAGTGAACTTCTTGTTCAAAAGGAAATCAAATGCTGAACTGTAGAACTGGGAACAAAAGATCTACGAAGTCGATGATCCTCGTCTGGAATCAGTAAGACCGACGACTGCTCATAGACTAAAGGCATTGTGCTTCACATGAAACGTGAACATTATTTTAATTAAACCCACAGAGAAAAAGCAGTTCGGTTTAGATATCAGTCCGCTTCGTTCAATTATCTGCGGGTTCCGATTGTTGTCTGTGCCGAATCGAACGGAAATCAAGAATACGAATTCAGCGATAGGATTGCTCAAATACCCCCCTCCGACAGCGAAAGGTTCGGTGCAACGTTACAAACGACGAGCCATTGTTACATTGAGTTGTGTAACTATCTCGCTGGCACCTAATTTTTCTGAGCCGATAGTTCTCTCTACAAAGAAAAGGTTGCAGTTACCAACAATGTCAGTACCGTTACGTTTCTTCTCACTCCATGCAATCCACACGCTTGTGGTCAAAGTGGTTGACGCACGTGTGGCACGTCAGAGGAATGATTGTATAACCACTCAGGAACACAGTCAATTTCGAGAGAATCAATCGAGTGCGTTTTTATGCAGCAATGAGGGGTATTTAGTGTTACGGTGGAAAAACAAAAAGGAATGCTTACACGAAAACAAGATAACACAAGTAGAAGAACGGCAGCTACGACACATCAAAGTTGATTTTCCACTAGAAGGGGTTTTAAAGTATCCCCCCTTCAAAAAAAGAAAAATATAAGCAATTATTGAAACAGTAAAACTTGGTCGACTCATAAGACTGGCTGTTGGAACTTTCGTCAGTATCAAAATAGGAATAAAAAGAATTATTACCACAACAAACCTCATGAAACTGATTTGGTATGCCATGCCTTAGGATTGTTATTATGCAGGGACAATTGAATAAATACTGGCAGTACTAGGTGTGCAATCCGAGTTTGAAAACGTCAATTAACGCGTTCGGAGCCGTTACTCTGTAGGCTGAGGTAGCATAATTGTTTCACAATGACCCCGTTGCTGACCCGGGTCGTCAGGACGTAAACGTTCCATCAGTTATGGAGTTTAGATAATCTGTTTACGCAATATGTGCATCATACAAGCCTACATATCTAACACAACTGTGCAGCCAAAACTCTATCATTTTGGTGATTATGCACAGATTCATCCATATACATACACCTACACACAGGTTCCCATACATATAACAGTAGCTAAACGGATATCCGACCGTCACGTGATCTGAAAATAGGCTCACATGAACGGTGGTGAAATATTCAATTGACTTTTTACACAACTGTGGTACCCCTCAAACAGTCTGACCAAGTATGAAAACTTGGATTACCATTTTTGAGATAACGTGCGGGTTCAATGAAACCCATCGACTCTGATCCATCAGCTCCTGTGATAAAGGATGAAGGCATATACCGGGAGAGAAGAGGGGATTGTGAATAACCGTTGTATGATAGCAGTTTTCGTTTAATTGATTTATTGACTGGTTCCTCAATGACAAACACCGGTTACAGTGTAAGAAACCAGGCGGTAGAGCTGTTCATCTGACCGTCAGTCAATACGTCCAAACGATCAGTTCCTGTGTACATACCTAAAGTAACCCAGAACGAATCTATTGGCATGGAACCACGCGGTACGAGAACAAATCGACGATTCATGTGAACTTTGTGAAACCTTCATTGTCTTGTGATTATACCGGACCCCGTAGACCCGTGTGCAGTGAACCATGTAAGTATAGTAAGTGACAACAAGATACGTGCACTGCACAGGAATAGGACCGTATTCTCCAAGGATAAATCGAATGTTATCGAATCCAAATCGAGCGCGCATACCAAAATGATGCAAGGGAGAACAATGATGGACCAATGCAGTCAGTCAGTATTGGCATCACGAGCAATCACACATTTTGGTCCAATTCCAATCGGGTACAGATTAGTTGAAAATGAGGAGCCAACAAGGTCACACGAAACTCATGACTGATTTTTTTTCATGTAGTCGACTATCACTCTCTCTCTTTCTATCTCTAACAAACAGGATATTTACTTGGGCGCCGTATGAGTGCCATACAAGTTTCAGTATAAAAATGGATTCATGAATTTGAGAAAGCGAGTCAAGTAATGTATGCTTGTTATGTATTTTTGGATCGAACCAAATTAGTTCGAGAAGGACATTAGAAATTCAAGTTAAAATATAATTCAAACGTGAATTTTTTTACTACACACCTTTATGTAAACAGCAGACGGGGCGAACCCCATAGTCACGAGGACCTGCTGCCCCGTCACGGAGACCTGTAACCTAAACCCGAGACTTGGAGTGGCGAAACACATAAGGCTCCGATTGGTTTGCAAACAAAAACGGTTCTTTGTAAACTACAGAATGAACTGGATCTTGGGACTACTCAAGCTCGCGTGCATTTCACAGTACAATAGAGCCCCATACCAAGATCAGAGGGGTTTAATTAGGCAGTATCCATGAGACAAATGGATGTAAACCGCATGCATTGAAAGAGCTATACGAGCTATACCCTTTTGAAGTGATCAAATAAATCCTGTCTAATAATATTACCAGAATGATTATTTAATTTACTGCATCAACGTTTATGATTAGAACTGTTGAGGTCCGGTTTTAGCCAATCCGACAAAAAGAAGTCGTATTACGAATGACCAAGATTTTTCCTCGGTCTCGGCTTGCGTTTTGCGAATCAAAGTCTACTGCTACATGAAGTGATTATTATGCAGCACGTAGTGTAACGAACAGATACAAGCATACTCCACCCACTAAGCAACAGAACGAATAGGGTTCAAAACCAAAGTCTTTAGTTCTGAAAACAACCTAATCGCAATGCAGCTGGTAAGGCGGAGCGGAGCAGAGCAACCTCTCCAGGGGCGCGAGTGAACAGAAAAAAAGGAATCCAGGAGGTGCCCAAGCAGCTAACCTTGTGAGAAAGCTTCGTCTGGTCTCTACCCACTGAACTTTCAGACACCATTGGATCTGCTGCTATGAGGAGCCATCCTGTATAGCTCGCAGGGTCACGGAGGCACGCAAGCCATCACACCACGTCAAGGTGCAACAGTCTCGTCGTGATGACTGATTCGATGAATGGGATATCAACCTCTCGGATGATTTGCAGCTCAGGATTTCACTACCCGAAAGCTCCAGTTTTGACCGCCACCCCCTCCCACCACAAAAATCCTCTCCTATGGAACCTGGCAGTTTTCTGCGTATCAGTGAATAGTGGACTAATATCTTGGTTATTAAGATTAGTGTACGATAATTAGATACACTCTACACTCAGACAAGTGAGAAACATGCTACTACTACGAATAGTGCTCATTTTGTAAATAGAGTAGGTGTGCTGCTGAGTAGCATAATGACGAAGTTAGCTAGCATTAAAGTAGGACAAAGGCTACAGCGATTGACCCCAGGATCAAAGGGTTCGCGGTGCGCCTTACTTCACTTTGAGATGATTTACAAACAAGCAAGAACCTGATCAGGTTTGTTGATGTCGCTAAATAAAACAAGTCAAGCCAAGTTAGACAAATGATATGCAGAACAAAAATTATACTGGAATATCCGAATTATTTAAAATAGCTACGAATCAACGAGACTGACCGGGTATAGTGCCCCGAGTGAATCCTCGAAGGAGTTCATGAACAAAATGATTTCCAATCTCGGACCGAGTCGTTCGATTTTGCATAAATGCAACAAGAGACGATCTTCATCGGTCAAATCTTCCACCGGTTTCTGATCAGTGAATTCGTACTTCAAATATGTTCGCATTTCGTCCTGAGTGGGCAGTTGACAGTATATACGATCTGCTACATCTTGGGTCACATTCAGTCCTGAGATATCGTTCACTAAACGTTCCGGTGTGTACTTCTCCGATTCCAAATAGCGTAGCAGAATTCCGATGCAGCTGTGTATATATTATGCAATGCAAGAGGCAAAATGATGAAAACAAATAGATGAAACGATCAGAAAAGATCTCAAAAGGCTTGTCTATTAATCATAATAAAACCTACACAAAGGTGCATAGTAAACTATCATTTAAACAGAAGTTGATGGGAAAATGGAGAATGAAATTAAGTATGGACGGTGTGGTGCAACAGTGTACTTTGTGACAACTCTTCCTTACACCACCGAACATTTTCATGAGCGGAAACCTGAAGGGTGAGAAGCGTGTTATGGAGGTTTTGTGACGACAAGCAACACTGTTTGGAGACGATGATAAAATCTGATGTACGATTACACAAATCGATGCCACACTGGTACTTCAGCGAACACTCGATGCAGCCCATCAATGGCCTCTCGAGAACGACGTTGAATGCAACACATCAAAATTAAACGTCAAACCACTTTGCTACAAAACCCGGTCTGGGTACTACGTCGGTCATCAGGAACTGCTAAGTGTCTCATGTGAGAAGAATATCGATGTCATCGATCACGAAGACCTAATTGGCTCAATTGACTACACCATTGGGTTGTCCGCAACTCAAAAGTATTTTGGTTTATTGATTTACCTCAACTCTATTCCCAAGTCTCTTAGCAGCATTCATTCGATCACGGATTGAACACATCACTGAAGCCTGAAATCCATGACCTCAATGAGATCACAAGTTTTGAGAAAATAAGTAGACATCAAAAGGATCAAGGGTCATCGAAGCCGCAATACCTATGCGGACATAGTAAAATCACTGAGGTTAGACTCCATTCAGTACCACCGAATGCGAGAAAACCTGATTCTGGGGTATCAAATGTTCCATTGCCCTAATAAATCATGTCGTTTAGTGCTCATAACCTAACGTCCATATCCGGCGACATCGATTTCAGCTAAAGCTGCAGACTTGTCGCTTGAAACACTAGTGTTCTTCCTCTGCTACCAGAGCGTACATCACTTGGAACTAGCTCACATCTGACAACGTTCGTGTGCCAACCATTGATTCTTTCAAACTGAGACTGGGGGAAGCACAGGAATGCTCATAATTCAACACCTAAGAAACTGTATTAGACAATGGAAAAAGGTTACACCATGCGATATTTTCAATTCAAGAGACAGTTTATGGTATTTTTCTCTTTTACATTTATCTGCACAAAAACTGATACCTGAGAAACACCAGCTTTAAGGCATATCCGATAAGTAAAGGAAACAAGTTTCTTGGAAAAGATAACCTTTAATAATCCTCGGCAAAGTGAAAAGTTCTTCATCGGTTGAAATATAGAATAGTATTATTGCACACGGGAACTTATTGGCAACGTGTTCCTCAATCGCAGTTATCTGAGATAGTTGTATTTCGACTCAAGTGCATCACAACCTGGGGAATCAAACTTTGCACGGTGATGACATCACAATTTCAATTCCCATCTGAACTTGAAGCTTAGAACACAAATATTTATTGCGTTGTGGCATAGTCCATTTATTCCTTTCTTACTTTTATTCCCGCAAAATAGCTTGATTGTGTCCTAACCCTAAACCGTTCTCTGTCTCCATATGAAAAGCGAAAGATTAAGGGACAAGTATTGAATAGAGTCAGACGTGTGAATTATTCAGGTGAAAAATGGTGAGTAATCTTAGTTTTCCCCTACATGATCAGGCTTGCTTGAAATCTAAATGTACTATCCTTTCAAGTGTGAAAACCGCATCAGTTTTCCTCTGATCAATCAGTGAAGAAGACTTCTGTTCAGTTGTTCTTTTCTTCATACAAGTTTACTGCATTTTTCTGATTTTCGCAGTTGAAAGCTAACTTTGAGTGGATGGGGTATGAGATCAAAATGATCGACCATGTGTTTCGATTTCCCTGAACTGTTTTAATGAGAAAATATTTCTAATGAACATGTTCAGGCTTGCTTAAAATTTGAAAACAGAACTTGGTCTGATATTAAACACCAATTACACAGTGACCTATCCCTTTGCACATCCCATTCCTCCACCCACCCCTAATAACCATCTACTACATCTGCCATACTTGTGTGGTCGTGAAACGCCCCTATACACTATCACTGTTTTAAAGTGACGGACGCGTTTTTCAACCAAAGCGATACAACAAAAAGAAAGCCGGAGTTAACTGAAATTCCGATTCCCAACCAATCAAAGACGTACACAAACCACACCCACAGATTCCGTCAGTTTGATTGGGCACCATAGTTAGTTGAAACAGTCACAATGCCATATAATCCGATCAGTTTCAGTTTTCCCAATCATTGACCATATACTTTCGTGCGCCGGTTTTGGATCTTCGGCTGTGATGAGCCATCCTGTGTAGCTCGCACAGGGACGCAAGCCATCACACCACGTCAGGGTGCAATCTCGTCGTAATGAATAATTCGATCATCGATCACACCTTGTCCCACTGCTTGTTACCTCGCCCAAATCCCGTCGAGTAAAATGAAAATTCGTTCTGAACTTCACCATTTATGCAATGGCGTTATATATTTTTACCAGTGCTGCGACGGTGGGTTTTTTTGGCTACAAGCTAACACATCCAAACAGGTTTGTGCACAATACAATAGACCCGGTCTAACTTTCATCGGCACACTCTCGAATTCGTCCTGCTGAAAAGGAAAACCGGAATCCGAACGGGATTTACTTGGCAAATTAATGCAAGTAAAATACTCCGAATACGCATGGAAGTTTCAGTCCACTGGCAGCATAATTTACGGCATGCTTAGAGCATTCCAAAGGAAATGGGGGAATGAAATTAGCCAGAAAATGTATGATTTCAAACCACAAAGGATGCTGTCACAATGACTGTCACTCGGATAGGTAATGCATAACGAAATGACGACTAGAGATGACACGCAACTCGGTGTTTCCACCTCTCCCTTCTCTGACCATGATCAAGAAGTCGCGATTTTACAATAAATCTGCGAGGCATACGAAACCCAGGACAAATCCGTGGGCGACCCATAAGAACAGACTTAGTGCCACATGGTCTAATACGTAAACAGTAAAACTAATCAATAAGTGTATGCGAATTTATTGACATAAGTTGACCAATGAACGCCGAGAAGCATAGATAAGGATCAATGAACTGTTGTCACTCTGAGTCCCAAGAAGGGCTTTGACCGCTTAGATTAAAAAACATGTATGCAAGACAGGCTACCTCAATATGGTTCGAATGGATATTGAAAGTCATGACTGGTCACCTTTTCGTTGCACATCGCGAAATGCTCCCATATGACCAAGCGTCTTAAAGGAAGGCTTACTCACCGCCATCACGCGGCGGACGTGTTTTACCACCAAAGCGTCAAAGGGAAAAGCCAACACCCAGGTACATAACCGGATCGGTTAACTACCGGTAGTTCATCTAGAGGAGCTGATTACAAACCAACCAAGAAGTGTACAGACCACGCCCACAAGTTCCTAATTCCGTCAGCTGTCATTGGCATGATTGGGCACCTTGGCCGTTTGACCCCGTCAAAAGGGCGTATGATTTAATGAACGGGACATCAAACTCTAATCGACAGCGGTTTTCACACACCACTCCAATGTCTTACAGTTTAGGTTTTGATCTGCTCAACGTCCAGTTGTGAATACCCCAAGAAAATTCACTTGTTTGACCTGGGAACTCTGACAGTATTGTGCGCAAGAGTGAATCATGGATTTACCTCTTAGTTACAAAGATTGTTGTACCCTGATTCGACTGGCAAAACTTCTACTGATACGACTGTAAAACATAAATTATGTGAAAACATCGATCAACACGCTGTATACAAAAGGAGAATTAATGGAATACAAACTGAGTGATAAAATAAAGAAAAATGCGCGCACACACACAGTCCATATGAATCCAAACTGTCTTGGCGACCACTGCAGTAAGAAGCAATGCTGATGACGGAGATCTTTGTGAGAAAACTAGACTTCAATAAGACGGCTGCGAGAATCAGTTCCTGGCTTTCCATTCGAAAAGCGAGGGTGAAATTATTGTTGAAAACAAAGTACACGTTTTTGACAAATCTCGCCAATATTTACCAAGCATAGAACTCACATTGATAGTTAACCGGATCGTGATTAGCACTGTCATTTTGAATGGCCCAGAGGTTTAGAATAATGAATGGTTTGCCTGATAACTGCAAGTAATTTGAAACAGCACTAAATGGCAGCCATTTAGATACTAATACAGCAAAGTACACTGCCACGCGACACTTCAATCGACCCTAATATCAGTAAAATTGCAAGCATCAGAGATCGGAGTGACCTGAGCGAAAGATGAAGCACAAGGTTTTGGTTCACCATCCATAAATGAGTTTGCTTTGAAGAGAGACGACTAATTAGTGGAAGATTTCGGTGATTCAAATATTGCAATTTGTTGCCCCATCGGATAGTTTGCTGGTGGTGAAGTCCAAGAAGCAACAAAGGTACTTAGGTGCGACTTCGGTTTAATATTGATACGAAACGAATATTTTGGACGGTTGAGTGAATTGAGATTTCGAGTTATCCGAGAGAAAATATTTGGGCAAGTAAGAAACCAGGCTGTATGGATTTTGGAAACTCGGTACTAAATGGCGCACAACCCTTCGCAGCAGTGGTGAAATTATTCCGGATTGCGCCCTTCTCACAGTTTTTGACGTATATAAACGAATCTATACGGAAAGACTGTTCACAATGCACTTTTATTAATGACAACTATGAGCAACGGTGCAGTAGAAAACATCTCACCCAGCCGCAGACATTTTTGTTATCGTTTCTTACCAGGCCAAAATGAAAAGGCGTGCATGCATGGTTAAACTGTATACTCAGTGTATTGATCATAACCGTTTATGTTCTTCTATTTAGACCAACACAAGTCTACTCCTCATTCACCCTTGTTCTGTATAAATCGTGAGTTTGACCGCGATCGGAGATGAGGATGATGAAGATCAAGGAGTAGTGGATTAGAACAAACAACCGATGATTGGAAACTGCTTCGCGGTGATCGACCATGAATCGAATACCACTAGAAGTTATCCTCTATAAACAAAACTGCTTGTGTCACAACACATGGAAAAAGGTTGCATGCTGGTGCCCATCAAGAGTTGTCAGAATGATGACAAACTTGGAGGTAGATAATTGCCACGAGCGAAATGGGGGTGGATCAGAGGACAAGAGGTGAACAAATCTCATCAAATGCATTCTTGATCGGATGTGAAAGTAGAAGTGCAATTGTTAGATTCTGTTATTTGACAATAGGGTGAAACCCTTTTCAGGGGGAGCTTTACATGCGTAAAGAGAACGATAATAGCAGGAGTGACAGAAAGCCTGATACAGTGATATTAAAAACGGACGCACAGAAAGTGGGACAATAAGCGGTCAGTTGCCTAGGAAAGAGATACGAAATGTTTTGAAAAATCCTGAAGAACCTGCATAAAAAGCTTTCAGTGAAGTGGAAAATTGCGAAATATGATGATCAAGGTGGGTCAAGTTTTCATATACAACCAAGACTAATGGGACTGCGTACATGTATATCATTATTTATGAAGTTTGTAGACTACCAACAGACATAACATAATCTAGGCGAACCTTTTCGGTGAATTCATTTTCAAGGCTTTACAATTACCGAAGACCATCAAGAGTGCCTGGTGTCTCTGAACAATCGAATGGGCTAATCCAAGCTTGATACCCTTTACAATTACATATATATGAAACAAAATTCGGTAGGGTCAAAAAGAAAAGTAGATGAGTTACGTGTATAGTAATGAGTTCGAGAAAACACCGGATCGGTACACTGTATGGATTACGTATTGAAAAAATTGTCACGTTACGTCATGGTCATGTGCCCAAGCGAGTTTCTCTTTCCTCGGCCAGGGGAGTTTGAGAAGTTGGATCAATATTCGCTGTGCATACAGTTTAGACTTCGTGATTCGGATGCTAATCGTCTACGTGGTCTCGAACTTCCGAAAAGCTATTGATCTCGAGGGGTGTGGTGAGACTCGATAGATGATTGTAGATACCGAATGTATGTCAACCAAGTGTTCCGGCTGTATTCAATGATTAACAATTGAGCTTGACACAGCTCCATTTCCACCAGGTGTGAGTCAGCGCGGATCGTGTTCTTTGATACGTTGAGATAACTGCCTTGTTCTGCGACCTACAGGAGTTGCAACTCATCAGCTTAAATTAAGTGTAATCAATGATGTTCCCAACTGAGTTGACGCATTTTCACAATTATCTGATGAAAACCTAATCGACGATTGAAACCTCGTCACAGTGTATCGCCTAGACCTAAAACTGGACACGGGGAGGGATAAACGAAGCTTCAATGCATCAGACGCGTTCCAGGGTTGTGGATAAGATAGTACAAGCGTGGAAAAAGGTTGAGTGAATTGTCGCGAAAAGAAACCGGACTGAACAAACAGCGGAAGCACTGCTAGGGTGTGGTGGATTTCAGGCTGACCACCTAACTCCCATCAAAAGTTACACACACAAGGATAGTACGTTGACAAAGCAAATGTGATAGACCTTTGAAAACTCAAGCCCTGGACCACACCATTCTGAGTCGATCGCTCGATCGGAGCCCATGATCCCCTGGGATCCTAATGCACTGGTCACAGACAATTATGAGATCTCAACGCCTGATACAGGTTTTCTGCTCGGCTGATCAGTTTTGGGGCAACAACAGGCTCAGGGATGGGCCCATTAGGAAAAATCTATATCTCAGTTTTGATATCCAGGAGGTGAACCGTCCGTAAACCGGGAAATTCACTGAAACTCAAATTATGCCTTACTACACTCTGTTCACCAAACTTTTATCGAGGTGTTGGAAGCCACAGGAACTATGACTCATGGCTTAAAAACCCGACTTTCCTTCACTCTCTCTATCCTCTGCATTGTTTCGATGATTGTTTAGCACAAAGGCATATTCGTTGCACCAGGCATTGTGAAAAATTAGTAGCTGTTCGAATCGGCTGAATTGTACACCGATTTGTTCAACTATAAGTAACACTAACATTCTGGCCAGTGCCACTTGTTAAAAACGAAAACCATCAACATGACAGTAACATTGATAACAGTTAAGTCAATTTACCGGTGACGATTGGAATCCATGAGTGATTTCTTCTCCGGGCGTCGGGCTGTCCGACTGAGGCCAGAATCTACTCCATTCATCCCTTTGCCATTTTGCCCCAAACCGGTCACCCCGGCCACCTTTTGGCTAGACAGTTTGAACAGATCCTCAAACCGGTCGGTGTTCACGTGACCTAGCACATCTTCATCATTCATACCTACGAACACGGTGCCGCGTAGTTGCTGACTTCGTAGCACAGTCCAATTGACCAAAGGAAGCTTGAAATGAGTTTGGATTGGGGGGCGGATTGGGACACCTAAAACACAAGGAGGAAAACAGGGTATATTGGTCCAACTTGAGGCAAATTTTAAGTATGCTTCGAATACAAAATAACGCCTGTATATTTGACGAAAAGGGGTGGAAATAGTTTGAGAGCTGTGGTGTTGACACAATTGTTTATAATAGGGATGGAAGATGTAGGTAAATCCTTGAAAAAGGCAACCAAAAGAGTTTTCATGGTCACGCCTCAGATGGACATGGTTAGAACGGAGGGTGATTAAAAGAAAATGAGTAGTGCTATGCTCTGATGAGTCATACCGACGGTAACCAATATGCATGCAGTTATTTCTGGGATGACATTCTACATCAACGGCGGTTTTGCGTGACTAACAATCGCGCAGTTGTCGGTCTGATAGATCAATGAAACAAATCCTTTGTTGATGCTACGATGTGAAGTTTATGAATCTTGTAATAATGGATAATTTTAGGATTTAACAGTCAGCCTGTTTAGCGATTTGAACCGAATCGAAACACATGCAAGAAAGCAATCAATGCCGCGTTATTCAATCAACAGGGATAAGTCTATTGTTGCGATCTAAAGCCAACTTTGAGAATTTCATACGACGACTTGAACGCAAACGTCGCATGAAATTAGGCGAAAAGCTGTCACATCTTGCAGAAATACGGGCATTTCAATGAGATCCGATGAACTTCATTGATTAATCTCTGGGTGAAACGACAAATTTATCGATCTCAGGTCAGGTATCATTGTTAGTTAAGCAGTATTTGGTGTGCCATGGTCATCTGTGCTACTAACAACACGGGTTTCGTCTGGGTCGCTCATGCCTCTAGAATCTGCTCCTTGCCTGTGAATGTTGGACCGAGGACAAGGCCAAAGGACAGGGAACGGACAGCATCTTCGTGGATTTCAGCAAGGTCTTCACACAACCGCCTTCTGCGAAAGCTGTCCAGCCTTGGTGTAAGTGAGACCATGCTGAAATGGCTACAAAACATCCTTGTCGACAGGAAATTCTACGTCCGTGTTGGCAGGTTGCTATTGACGTGGTATTCTGTCACTAATGGGTTCTCCCAAGGCTTTGTCCTTGGTCCATACCTCTTCATTGTTATGTTATGTTAACGACCTGCCCGGTCAGCTGCGCAGCCCATCCCTCATGTATGCGAATTACATCAAAATCTGGCATACAATCGAGGGTTCAGAAGATCGGAGTACTCTACAAGAAGATCNTCTGAACACCCTACCACAATAGGCGGGCACCTGAGCTCTTAGTGTCAATACCGCTAAGTGTACTTACTTGCACCCAAGTCGTGTTGATTCGGATATGGTTTACAGCTTTCAAGGAACCGCGGAAGGGACCTGGGAGTTACGATGACGTCATTACTAAAGACCCGAGAGAACACCAATAGGTTCTGTGCCAATGTATGGAGCATTCTGGGATCCATTCGGAGATCTTTTGCTCCATTAACGATGGACGCTTTTAGGCTGCTGTACGCTCTCCACGTCAAACCGAGACTTGAGTATGGTAGTGCTGGGACATATTCTCGCACGGCTTGTGAACTGGCTAAGTTGAAGTGTGTACAACGTGCTGCTACTAGACTCGTTTTGCACTACGTGGGACCAGTTATGAAGGCCGTCCACAAGCTACCGGTCTATTTCCAGTTACGCATCGGCGTATCAGGGGGAGTTTGTCTGCCTCAAGAAGATCCTGATGGGTGATATGGGCCCGGGGCTGCTGCAGCATTTTCCACTACGGACAGAGGAACGCACGCGGGGGTACTCTCCCACTTCGCGTAAACTTTAGTCGGTTGATCTTCCGTTAGCCTACCGACCCTCACAGAGGTTAACAACACCCTGGAATTCCCTTCCACTGACTGTGGTGGAGAAGACGATCGACGCTGCTTTCAAGCGGCGTCCGGATGAGCACCTCAATAGGCTATGGAAGGATGACCACATAGGATCGAATATTGGACCCAGTGGTGACGGGGCTTACATGGGTATCCTACCTTCTGCCCTCAAGACTGATGATGTCGATGTAATCAAAATGCAGCAGTACTTTAGAAACGAGCCGTGTGTAGCAAGTTCGTAACACGAAAACACTCGCAGTGATCATGGTAATGAACAAGGAAGCCAACAGCAGATCACAGTAAATTCGCATGTCCTGTTTGGCGGCTAGAAGGTTTATGATACACATAAATATGGTCTACAGTAGAATCTAATTCCGTAATAGGGGTAGTCCTCTACATTACGTAATCCGAAATTTTGAAAAACGCCAATTTTCAATGATTTACAGTTAAGCGGTAATGTGTATAAGGGATGCACCTCTTAGTCACAAGTACGGTTCAGTTGAGGGGTGTGAATAGATGAACCACCTAAGACTCTAATTGTTATGGGCCAGGTATCAACGAAACTGCTCTCCACTTAAGCTAGATGGTTCGGTTCTCAGAATCGCAGAGTCAGGAGAACGACTGTGATGCTGATTTAAACCGTATCAATAAAGTTCGAATCTACCCTTTTAATGCTCTGGAACGTACAATCACAACTTATGAGACCGATTGCATCTGTGGGCATGTGGGAAAAACTCGCTCCGAGAAGCGTTCTTCCAATGTTTTTCATTTGCTAATCAATCAATAAACACTAACAACCACGTAGACCGAAAAAACCAAAACAACGAAAAAGTAGACAAACCAGGCGACCATGAATTTACATTGGTTCGAAGAACTGGAGTGATTAATTTAGGTCACGTAAACGTGATGATTTGAGATTGATTAAGATGAAAATGATTTTACCGCCTGCATAGAGTGCATACAGACCGTGTGAACTGAGTGAAGAAGGGTTTCGAAAAACATGTCACTTGAAATGATGCAGGGCACAACCGTAAACAAAAGGTGGAACAGCCTGCATAATCAGAGTACCTGTTGGCGGGTGAAACCAGCTTTGGTTATTAAATTCATAAACAGACTATAAAATCATCGTGTGGTTAGACTATTCTGAGAATGGACAGTATGGAATGTGTGCCACTTAAACTGACAACAAATTTTTATTGATTCTGTAAGGATTTGGGCACTTGTCAAATGATCGCGCAATACGAACTATCAGTCAGTTCATTGTCTAGTAGATCATGTGATTGAACCCCACTACAGTTGCCTTACTTTCCCATATATGGATTTTTCATCGCGGCCAATCATTGACCACGGAGCATCCGATAAAATCCAGAGTATGAAAATTATAATTAAACTGCACATTTTATTGGACAATGTGTAATTATCCATTCGCGAAATGTCAAAACAAAGCTTGTGAATGGATGGTTACTGATATACTTGCACACAGAAAATGATTCAGTTCCTATCACTCACTTTCAATCCCTGATGGAGCTTGTGCTAGTCCAGGTGGTGGTGGTGGAATAGCTCCACCACCCAGGGAGGGTAAAGGTGGTGGTGGCGGTGGGGGNGGAGGTGGGGGCGGCGGTGGTGGTGGAGGTGGCGGCGGCGGTGGTGGAGAAGAGGCACCCTCGGGTGTACCTTTAGACGGTAAGGATGGGCCGTTTATACCAGCAGCAGCCGCAACCTTTGTGCGAGATAAAGTCTCTTCCAGGTCCTTGATTCGTTCTTCTAAGACCTTCTCACGTTCAGAGGATGACTGATCACGGTCCTGTAAGCGGGCCCTTAATGATGTTAGTTGACCATCTTGGCTAGCACGCTGATTCTATAACATTGGGGGAAATATTTCATGAAACAAGTGGTTAATATGAAAAACTCATTTATTTGCAATGAAACAAAAACTGCATAACAAAAAATATGAATCAATATGTCTGCTTCTTCAAAGAGAAATGTAAACAAAATGGTCTGCCAGTTTGGTAAATGATTATTTTAGGTCCAAAAAATCTTCTTTGATGAAACACATGAAAACAGAAACCACTGATCTTTGACAATTATCTAGAAAAACAGTATGAACACAACTTGCTGCTATTTGCTATTTGCCTATAAAAAAGAGCACACGTACTTGTTCATCCTAATGCCAGGTCAGTGCATCTATCGAATAAGAAAGTCATCCCCCACGACTTACGGAAGCAGGTGTAAAAGAAACATATAGAATGTGGCTGGTGATGGGGCATATGACTGTAAATAACAGTAAAAGACCTGCCTAGTTTGGACAGCTTGTTTACCATCTATCAAGTGAGACAGCTAGGGACCAATACGGTCAAGCCAATATACAGATGGTGCACCGATTACGTGGTGCTGTTAACGGTAGTCTGGGCGCGATAAACCATATGAGATATGCAAGGTTTAGATGACAAGATGCTAACCGTAACATGAATGGCCAAGTGTAGTGGAACTACTCAAAGGAAGTGGACATGTAATGTGGGTTAAAAAATCTCCGACGAGAAAACGTCTTGGAATAAGGAGAAACTTGCGCACAATTCTAATAGTTTAAGCTAACCGTTTGTCAGATATCGTAGAAAAAATTGCATATTGAGGGACTTTAAAATCGGCTTTAAAGGAATGCAGCCATATAAAAGTGTCAAAAACTAATCTACATTCATCACAAGTCTTATCCAGTCTTACGTTATTAACAAGCACTTTAGATGGTTTGATTGTTAGTGTAGTGTTTTGCATGAGTTTCGCATCCTCCAATTGCAAAACGCTGTTCCAGGATTGGGTTGGTTCAGCTCTCAATTTTACTCTATCAGGGGAGTCAATCGGGAAAACATACAAGTTTTGCCACTTGGACAGCTACATCTCCCCTGGTGGAAAAAGCTCAGACGATGTGTTGACACTCGTACGGAGAATGCTCCATTTATATCCCGAATTGCAGCTGTCCACGTTCGACGACAAACTCTGCAGAGAGTGATTCAACCTGGAGACTGCTGTATGCAGAGTGTATATCAAGGTGTTCTGTATTCTTGTGTACCGTGCTTAACACGGTTTTAGTTGTCCACCACGTCGACAGCGCCAGTTTGGGTAGGAAGACAGTGCCCAGGAAGTTTCCATCAGGTTCTAATCTGATTTACATAGTGCATCCAAAACATTGCAGCAGTATGAACGTGCTTAACCGTATGAAATTAAAACACTGGTTACTGACCCAGTTCGTTGGGGAACTGATCCCTCTGTATCTTAGAGGCCTGTTCACTGATGCGATCAACCATTTTTCGAATGCCGAACGATCCTCGCCAGGGATGATGATATCATTACCGAATTCTAGATCGGTGAGCCAGAAGTTCGGATAAATCTGAATTTCCTGGTATCCTTCCATGGAGCGAACCATTATCCAGTCAAAGGCAAAGTTGAACGGTATTGGGAACCATGGGCACTGCTGTCGTACTCCGTATCTCAACTCGAACGCAGATGATTCTTCGTCGTAGATGCTGATTCGGGCACTAGTATGGGAGCAGTATGATTCCATGAGGTACGCAAGTTTAAATGGTATACCGGCCAGCACCATGTTCCCGAGGGATTCTACAGAATCGAATGTCGCACAAGAATCTACGAAGCAAACTGCTGTGTTTGTTGAACTTTGTGACCATGTTCTAAGAGGCGACGTAGGGTGAATATTTGGTCAATACAGTCCACATCGGAGCGGAATCCCCTTTGGGCAGGGTGGGTGTGCGTGCCTTTTTTCTGCAAAGCAGTTCAGTAAATGTGTATAAACCTTCGCCGCCACATCAGGTATACTGATGTTTCTGGACTTTCTCAGTAACTTGAGATATAGCAGTTACCGGAATAGAAAAATGATAGATGTTCGAACACTGCTGTCTACGCCGCATCGCAGGAGTCTGATAGGGCAACCGGACAGACAATGTCGTAGTTAGGCACGGACTTTTAGATAATTGAGGTAGCCAAAAGACAGCAACCAACATTGTTGCGCGCACTCGCAAGGTTGATGGTTGTGTAAACCGAAGGAATGAAATATCTAAATGAACACTGCACACTAAAGCGGTGTGTCCATTCACAATGCATTTCTCTAAACAACGCAAAACATGGCAGTTGACTAGTTGATCTAGTGCTCGATTCCAATTACTCCACATGTCAGTTATATTATCCACTATATTCACAACCTCAGCGGGGCCCAGACACAGAACAAATTACTGAGGCCAGCGGTACGTCATGAGCGCATCGTGCACTAGTGCGACTGACAGTGTCGCAGTCACGTGTTTCACTAAATTACTCATTTGAAGAGACCGACAGCCAATAATTATCCTGATATGCGTCAGCACGATTGATAATACAAGCTCTACCTTTGCTGAAGCAATCGAAATTCGGTTATTCAATAAACAAGTAAACTGACTTATCAGTTTACGCCCATTGTTTAACTCTTTTTTGAATTTTAACCACGATAATGGAGTAACGACTGTAATATAATCAAAACCAGCTAGTATATCTGACAGGATCTTTGGGACCGAATGCACTTAGAGAATAAGCCTGCAAATGCTATAGTACTAGTCAGAAGAAAGGACGCTGGTGACCTGTGGACCCTGCATATTTCACCACAAACGTTCTCAAATGACTTGCTTCGTATGTAGCCTCCAGTGCAGCAGTTGCTCTCATTGTCGAATTCAGACGGATAAATTGAACGCTACACTATCGTTAACTTGCCTAGGGGATATAATTGGGCCCTAATTTAAAGTAAATTAAGACCAGCGTAAGAGCTAAGAGGAATAGCACTAGTACAATTCTGAATTCTGAAAAATCAAATATTCACTGACAGTGACTTGTCTAACGGATGTTTTCGCGATTTTAATTGCCCAAATAGCACTGTGAAAAGGCACACCAACGGAATTCTCTGACATAGGTTTCCGGTGGACCAGTAACCTCACAATTTGTACCGCTGTCTTATGGTTTGTCTTTTAATCAAAGGCTCTGAGTGAGGTAGCCGAATCAACCTCTTACCATGTCTAGCCTGGGTGTATGAGGCTTGACGTACGGTGATGATTAATGATTGTAAATTACTGATGGAACGCCGTAGAGAGAAGCCTTACTGACAATCAAATTAGTAATTCTAGTCAGTGGTGTAATCGAACGTGGTTAAAAATAATAGTTAGCACACCATTCAAAATGTCTGGAGTACGGAAGAAACGGTAGTTGTTAGTTATGAATGGGAAAAATCACAGTGCTTGTCGAGGAGATAGAAAACAAAAGATTGACTAAATAAGCAGCAGATGACTGGAGTTAATTCTGGGGTACAAACCTTCAGAACAATACTGTTAGGGTCGGGAGTCGTGTGTAGGTCTCAGAAGTGACGAGTTGGATGAAACTTTTCCGTAGTAAAAAAAAGAGAAAAAGGAAATCGATAGTGGGAAGAAAAAGCGGTGAGAATGATGATTCAGAAAACGCCAACCTAGAATCGAAGACCACCGTTTTCTCATAAGTAACGGAAGTCAAACCACCAGAAGGGTAAAACAAACCCTCTGAATTCATATGAGGCATATAAGTTATAATACATTTCTGATCATTTCAAGAGTACAGTATGTCACAGCCCTGGTATTCAAACCACCACGGCAAATGAAGCAATCAGTGAGCGTGAAACTGAAAAGCGCAACTAAAAAGATTGAGAAACTGGACGCTACAACAGTAGGTAGAGGTGGAAAACACTATTTGTAACAATAAATATACCGAAAAACAGAGCAACGGGGAGTTCAATTACTACATTCGTAAAGGTTACTCATATTGAGATAAAGGACAGTCTACGGAGAATCCCATGTCGCTCGGAGAGCTGTAAGAAAATATTATTTCTTAAGCCTATAGTCCGATTAGTGGTGACGCTTCAAACCACTGAAAACACTCACGTCTGTTTTGAAACAGGCCACAGAGACATGCCAAACTTATGAAACCAGATATCGGACCCAACTGACATCCGTCCATGATCTGACTTTCTGTAAGTCTTACCCGGGATGAGACGCCACACTGACACACAAAAGATCTATCGGCCAGCGCAACAATGCAAACGAACGAGCGTAAGGACACACACAAGAAGAGAGAGAGAACACGTGACTCGGACGAAAAACAATCCGCTGGTCAGTAACCAATGTATTGGACAAGCACATTGAAATAGCTCAAGAACGCTGCACGCGTGTTTTTCACGGTGTACAGCAAAAACTCGATTAAATCACGCAAGAAATCGATCGATCAGGCTGACTAATTCAGAATGTGGGTTAATCACCAAACACTGTAAAGTATGGTTGATCGACTTATCATCATCCATCAGGTGACGTCGGATCCAAGGGCGCATTCATGGTCATGCAAGTAACAATAGAGATTACGGAGGCTGGACTCAAACATTCAACATTGTGTTTTGATCACGTAGGCTGAGGATCACCCAAAAAGGATGCATGTTAGCATAAAACCGATGGTGTTTTGTGTGAGGCAATGGAAAGTTTTTTCATACCACTGTATTGTTTGCGGTAGCATAGAACGTAGCCAAAACGGAAGAAAACGCGGGCTTGAAATTTACATTGGTATCCTGTAGATCAGCTAACTGTCATGCCACAGATTTATCCGTACTTTCCTAGCTAAAAGTCAAAGTTTAACCACACAGCGTAAGGATCTGAAACTATTTGGGAAAGTTGTAGTAGTCGAAAAAGATGAGAAAAAAATGCACAAACAGAGCCACCAGTTTACCTCCAATTCCGTACAGCGGATCTGCAATTCCTGAAGGGCACTGCGCAGTTCCGAGGTCTGGGCCTCCTGTTCAGCCTTGGCCGCACCTAGCTGAGTCTGCAAACTAAATATCTCCGATTCGCGTTGTTCACACTCTTGTTGATAGAATTCTCTCGCCTGAGAATCCTCCAACAGAAGAGCCACATTGACCTCGTTGTCGTTGTACGCTTCGATTTGGCGAACCAGGCGATCTCCCGCACGATTTTGTAGTCGCTTAGATGTGAAAACAAGCCGCAGAAAATAGTTAGCAACAAGTGTGACGACTAAAAATATGTCGAAACAAAATTACACCAAGGAAACGTTTGATCATCATAAGTTATAAATTTTACTCTGACAAAGTTAGAATCATTCCTTTGATGATTTTTATGCCTACCCTTTTTTGGTTATTCCATTTTAGGTTTGAGGTATATAAAAAATCGCAACAGTTCAACCCGATAGGATTAAACTTCGTATTCCAGTCTTCCAAAGAGGCTTCTATATGATGTTTTCATGTAGGGTCAGTATGACCATGTTGTACTATTTTGTCCACCGCGATGGGAGGTGACTAATACGCACCGTAGGAAAAATCTAAAGTTAACCTTGCACTTTCAAATGCGTTGTGTCTGGGTAGTTTATCCTGCCATACTACTGAACCACCGGAAAGATGAAAATGTTGTACACAGAAGAAAGCACGATGGAAGATGCCAAAGAAAATGGGTGTAACAATAGCAAAAGATGGGCTTCCTTGTTTGCACCATACGCGTTTTCGATGTTTTTTCCTTGTATTGATTATTCGCTGAGTAAATTTTTACAGCATTTACGAAAACAGCTCCGATTCTCTCAGGGTTTCTGACAAACGATATTCATAAGCCCTAATACCCTGATCTGGGAGTAGTAGGCTGCTACAAGTCTACGGTCAATGAAGATGTACCTCACCGAACGTGTTGTGGATAGAAAAAACGTCATCCAAGTGATTACCAAGTGGCACCAAACAGGACTATGGCTATCATTATGTTACTCAACGTGCAGTACTTATTGTTCAAAGGTTGAGTGTGTATCCAAGAAGAAAAATGCTATAGGATACCATGTTTCCAAGATTCTCCATATATTCATTCATGAAACCAACCTAGCCTCAATTAGGAGGAAGCGATCCAAAACGAAAATATGTGCCATTTGATCTCGTTATTATTCAGAAGTTGTTGTTAATAAGCGTGGAAGAAAGCCACTGTATATTTCTGAGGATGTCCTCAACTTTCTAGTTAAGAATTTCTTCACCCTAGTGTAACTATACGTGTGAAATACGTACGTAAACTTGAGGAGCGGATTCACACAAGACACTAAAGCACAACAGTTAAGGCGTCAATACTGGAAGCTTTCCTAATCTTACCCAAACGCGGAACGCTAGTTCGTCATCGATTCTTGGCCATACTTGTCTACATGCCTCTGTAATTAAATTGCATAACTTGGTGTATAAATGAGTGGATCTAATGCAGAGCGAAGTCTACCACCCAAGAATTAGTTGATGATTTTGGTAAAAATCATAAATTGAATAAAATCGGAATCTCTTAGAGATCGCTCATTGAACGTTTACCATAATTTCCACACAAACACATGTCAAGTGACGGATAAAACGGTTGTTGTAATTAATTCAAATTGAAACATCTTATTAGACTGCTAAATAATGACGGTAGCTTTGAAGCTCTGCTCAACAGTACCCAACCATGGTCGTAAAACAGAATCCGTCTCACCTGGAAACACCAGAGATAGCATCAATGCTCAGTAACGGATCGTTAAAACTTAGTGTTCGATTCGGTAGTACCACAAAGGGTGCTTGTTTTCAGGAACGGTTAGTAGAACCGAGAAAGATGCATGATTCACGGTTCACTGTGCACGTTGATCAACGAAATAGGACGCAGACAAAACACCACAGGAACAGCGAAAATATACGGTTCAGCTAAAACATGTATAGAAAAACACATTTTATTCCGTTTAGTATAAAAGTAGCTTTCACCCGTTGAATGGTAATTCCAATACTGAACCACGCATGCAAACAACTTGAAATCAATCAATTCAACAAAATAGTAATGATCGCGAGATGCGATCATAAGGTAGGGGGTGTCCACTAAAAGTAATGAACTTCTCATTTTCCTATCACAATTCTATAACCCGGACAAAACCGTGATTGGCGGGATACCAGGATCTGAAACGTGACCCGAATTTTTTCACATAGGGAACCGTTCATCATTTGTTTTAGTTACAGCGCAGTATCGACCAGTTAGATTTTACACACACACACACACACACACAAGAATAAGGAAATGCGTGGTCACATTCTACCAAGTAACTTTACACACCCAGGAAAAACAAAAACTAACACCATACCACTTTACCCTGATATCGGAACCAAAAATGTCGTGCATTCATCCACACACTCTCATACTATCAGTGCGGCCACTGTCTACAGCCTGATACATGTGTGCAGCTAGCTCTCATTTTCAGTTTGTGTGTGTGCCGGCATAGGAGATAGCCACTGTGACAAATGGCACATCTGAAGGGAGCTGACAAGCGGAGGGAGATCGTGCGAAAGACATTTCAAACAGAAACTTACATTTAAGTAGTGAACCAGACCCAGATGACGGAATTCCTCTTGCAAATAGACTCGGAGCATGATATCATCCGTCGAATGGACCACAATATTAAAGAACTGAATGCAAGAGACCTAGAAAATAAAGGAGAACAGAAAGAAGAACCTCGTTGGGATTAGATGTGCAATAAAAAATTTTTTAAATAAGTGAAATGCATGGATTCAGGGAAACATGCATCGTTCACTGTTCCAAAGATGAGTTACAATATACACCAGGCGGATACTGACAGACAGAATGTTTTGTAATGCGGCTGTTCAGTGAGATACATGAGGTACAATCAATGATGGTGGTAAATCCAAATTTTGATTCACTAAAGTTCATTCGGTTATTGTCAATGATTGAGTGAGACTAAAATTGATGAAAATAGGTGCGAAACGAATGAGTGACATTAAAACCATACTGAAAACCAAGGAAGCTGAATGCATCTGAACGAGCTACAAATTTGGTAATAGCGTCACGCAAATCAGGAGAAAGTTTTCATGTAACGGTCGATAAAGAGCACCGAACAAATGTTACGCGCTTATTGTAGTGCATGATATTGTTGTACGCCTATCAGGACTCGCATATTCGGGTAGGGAGATGAAATCATTAGACCGGAGCTACAAGCTGGACAACCTGCGCACCGAGGGAGCATTGGCACGTGAATGGAATTAAACACTGCCTTCTATTGCGATTGCGCAGTGACATATAACATTACGAAGACTTTAGAGATGGTAAATTGGCATTTGAGATAAAGTCTAATTCAAAACAAGAGTCCTGCTTTGATTACAATCGAGACGCCGTTCTGTGAATTACGCCGATAGTGTAGTTAACAATTTGCAGCTATTTCGGTAGCCACCCGTATCTAAGTGATTGGAAGTTCCGCATAGAAACGTTGATCTTTGATAGCAGTTTGAAAAAGGTAACAGAACCATTGTCGGAAATAGCAATTAATCATCTCAATAATCTGCATTTTGACGGCATTCGAACTCACGAAAGTCAAATATTTGGGGTACTTGTTCTTGGCTTGAAAACAAAATCTGGCCTGTCAACTTAGAGGATAAGGAGTGTTGAGTTTGATAAATATCGCCCTACCCCCAGACACATTAGTTCTGTCGTGATGTATACGAAACGGTTATGCGATGGACAGATCGATTAGATGTTTCATTGAATCCCTGACTCCAATAATATCTGCTTTATCACATCACTATAATGTCAACATTCACTTAGGTGACAGCTAACAGAGTACGAGCAAGTACAGGGGGAAAATTAGGCGTTCTAATGTAAGTTCTTGGTGGGAATGCAGTGTATATTATATTAACCTTTGCAGAGCTAGTCATTCCTATAATCAGAGAAGTCGGCATTTTGTTCTCACTTCTCAAGAGGATTGTACGCAAGAAATATTATGATATCGGACTATTCCAAATGAGTCTCCAAATAGCCAAGACACAAAATCTCAAGCACTTTTTGAAGTGAAGAGATTGTATGCCATTCGCGGAGTTCCAGTCATTCGTCACGATTTATCACATTTGACCTCCGCTGACTTCGCATTTTACTTAGCTAGACAGTCGAAATTTTATTGTGAACAACACCATAGGTTCGCGTATTCGGAAAAAGGTGACCCCATGAATCTTAATTTATAAACAGACGGAAATTCTCATTCACGACGAAGAATTTGCATTTGCGGAATTAAACCATTCGGCGTTTCTTCAAAAAAGTCCTGACCGGACCCCACATATTATCAGTAGACTTGAAAAACATAGATGACGGCGATACATCGAACGTCTCAGCTTCGCTTGTGTAACACAGCTACTGGATTATAAGGTCAAAGTCTAAAATATAATGTCTTCACATAAATAGCATCATTCCAGTTAGCTCTAGATTTTAAGATATTTAAAGAGTCTTGCAGTGGTCTAGCCAAAGACGAAATCGAACAGTGTTTGAGAAATATGAAAAATATAGCTCCTTAATTATGCTAAATGTTTCCGGACTGTGTTCCCTGAAAACATGAGAGAACTTGCATTTTCCGTTCAAAGCCCACAGCGATGATTCGGCGATCGACGTAAAAAGCACTAAATATGTAGTGAAATGATGCTGCGATAAGTGAGGGCAATCTGTGTGCCCTTACTGATGCACCAAGTGCAAAATCCATTCCACACAGTGACAGGCACTTCAGGTCAACTTCGCTTACATGTGGTTTTAGATGGAGGAAACATACGAATGCTCAGTAGCCTTTCATCGGGCGCACCTTGACCTGAGAGGGAACAACATATGTGTATGCGAAGCGGATAGTACGAGTTCTTACACAGCTGTCTTCGCTTCTTAATGTACATTGTGATCTAGGAAATGATCAATGCGATTAGTTGATGTACTTGGTGGTCAAATACTGTTACACCTGCTGGGTACTGTCAGTTCAAGAGGGGATCAGTGTTAAGCTGATGTACTTGAGTTCAAAAACTAATCAGTTTTCAATGGTCTATGAGTTGTCTTTTTAGTAAAGCGCTTTTGAAATACTGCCTGTAAAAGGGACAACCCAAATGATGGTACGATCGTATAAAATAGATTTTGTTAATGTTAATACGAAAATAACTAACTCGTCTTATGAATACTCCTCTTGTTTCTTGACAGGCTTTAACTTACCATGAAGTCAATATTGTAGTCATCTGGAGAGCACGATTCATGTGAGATGAAATAGCGCACAAGACTTTCAAAACGTGCAGATTCACCAACTTCCCGCTTGAAATTGTCAAAAGCCTTGATCACACGCTCATGACCGCCGATGATCAAGCATACAGCCGCCAGGAGCTCCAGTACCAGGGTTTTAGTTCTAAAAATCAAAGTGAGAGAAGAATAAAAGAAAAGAAAGAAAAATAAATTCTGTGTTCGGCGCTATCAGCTTACGGATTCACCTGCAACTAAGAGGGTATATCTTCAAACCGATTATCTCTAAACTAGNAACTAGAGGATTATTTAACGGTATATATTTTATCAATACGCTGGAACACTAGGAATGTAGGTCTCTTTTGTTTGTTGCATAGAACTGTGGATTTATTTATATGATGTATTCGTCGTGTAACTGATGCATGGGCTGAAAAGCTGGCAAGTACTGGAAAGCTGTTTCCAACTAGTTGGGTCTCATCAGCAGGGCGAATCCATCGACCGAACTGAGGATCGAACCCGGGACCTCACAGATAGAACGCAAGCATACTACACACTCGATCACCGGGCAGTTGATCAGACGGTTTCCCATTTTGAATATACATAATATAGCGCAACCCATCTACGCGAGCTTGTTGTGAATATCGATCCTCGCTCATCTCAGCATTAGCCTCCAAGGTTGACTCGATTGGAAACTTACACAACCTGCTTATTTGTTGTATGAGAGTAATGGTGGATTTATTGTTGGAAACATCGTGGTATGAAATCAGTTGGATGAGTTTTTCATCGGCGGTCTCCGCCGGCGATCACGCGAAATGAAACCTCGTTATTTGGTGAGACAACCGGACAAGTAATAACAGGGTTAGACGAAGGGTTTTAAGTAACTGTGGTTGCGTATAGATAAAAGTGCTCATCTTTCAAACAGTGCGATGACTGGAGGGCGTTTTAGATGTATCATAGAACAGATATCCTCAGGGCAATAAATTCTCCAAGATAGGCCGTGGCTGGAACGTGAAAACTGGACAGACAATGACCTGATATTGTGTAAGAATATTGACGCTGTGTTAAGGTCATTAGTGGGAATATATGGGATAGGGTTACTCGGCAGATAGAGCTAACTGGTACATATGACTGTATCGATTTGGTTTCCTTCGAATAAATCATAGCCACACAAAATGTAAGAACAGTAGGAAGAAGGCTCACTTTCGGTAATTCATGGATTGGATAAAACATTCTAGGTTGCACCATAACTATTCTTTTTTTCACAAGGCACTATGTTATGAATGGTAATGTAGGAACTAGTAGATGAATCTTCGAAAACGAGCCTGTTCACCAACACAATGTCAACACCAACACTGTCAATTTTCTTTTATTCCAACGCTGTTTTTCATCGTACGACCAGATAAATAACTAAAAGATGCCAACCGAAACGGGAAGACTGAAGTCCAAGGTCAAGAGCTGAATTCAACTTTGTTGTGTTGGCACCAGTCTTGCTTGCCAATCGGTGATATATGGATAGATAGATATGTGTGTGTATGTGTATGTGTTGAGCATAACGCCCACATGTACACAGAAACAACCAAACACATGTATTACATGCATTTGTCGTTCAAACACAATCGTCGATATTTATCGTGTGATAGAACTAATCTAATTGACCGCTACGATCTCCAATCAAACTAAGTTTTCTTTCTCAGTCGACCACAAGTAAGCCTGTTCCGTCATAGGTTCTATTGTGGCAAATTTGCACAACAAACTCGTCAAAGGCGAAGTTAGCACATTTAACCCAATTCGATATCGAAACTGCGAAGTTATTCTTGGTACAAGCGCGGCTAGTTTACCAGTTCGTTATCTATCAATTTGGAATTGAATACTCTAACATACAAGCCAACGCACTTAACAAGATTTACTCCCTCAAATTTGACTGCTCGTCCTAATCTGCACGAAAATTGCACAAAGTGTTTCCTAATACCTCTTAGTGTGTATTGTCAACACCTTCTGTGTGGTTGGTAACTGACAAGCCATCATTCAGGAAAAATGTCGCTCTTGAGAGGATAAAGATCACAACCAAGACTGCATCCAATCCGAAAGTGATAAATACAAGGCATTGTGGTGTGAGAGAGTATAGCCAGCTGAAAAGATGTACACAGTGAACATGTCACTAACCGAACCGTTTCAGTTCAGTTTTTACAACCACTAACCACGCACTGTCGTGCGCCGGTTTTGGTTGCTGTCTTTTAGTGCCCCATTTGGATAAAAGAGCAGAATGGACATTGGAATGTTGAGAGGGGATCCAAGCGAAAGAAGAGAATTCACAAAGAACAAACAGTGATAGAGGAATAATGAGTAGATGCACGAGCGCCACTGTTTGCGACACCCAGCCATATCACTCAGTGTCTCTAACCATCAGTGACCATCATCCCGAGGTCCCAGGCCAGGGAGCATAACAGGGCCTATGTGACCCAGACTCCTGGTTAGGGTTTTCATACCCTCATGCCCGGTTTTCGTTTGACCACACTTGACCTTTTTCCAACCAGGCCCTGCCTCGGCAAACATCGCTCGCCGTTTCAACCTATCTGGTGACATGCGTAACACATGCCCCCACCAACGTAATCTATGCAGGTCGATCACTTGCTCCAGTAAATGACCGCCACTGCCTAAAACTCTACGGCTAACCTCAGCATTGCTCGTTCGGCTGCCCCACCAGATTCGTGCAATGCTGCGTGGACAACGATGTTCAAACACCGACAGTTTATCTTTATCCTGTTTTCTTAATGGCCAAGTTTCTGCTCCATATAGCAGAACTGGCTGAATTGCTACAGCATACACTCGACCCAGTCGGATGTCGCCACAAATGTCTCAAGTTGGCAAATGCCAACCGATCCTTTTGAACGCACGCCGACACTTCATCTGTTATGCGTCCGCCAGGTGAAATGCAGCTGCCTAGATAGCAAAACGTGTCTAATTCCTCTACTAGTCCCTAGTCAGGGTGAGACTGGGTGCTAGACCAACCCAATCTTGTAGTAGCATTTTACACTTCGAAGGTAAAAAACGCATACCAAACATGGATACACTAGCACTCAAACTATCCAGAAAAGCTTGCAACTTACTTGGATCTTCACTTAGTAGCACAATGTCATCTGCATACTCTAGATGAGACAGTATGCCATCTGGAAGTAAATCAATACCGCTATCCTCGGACGAGGATTAAATCTACCACGAAGTTGAATAGAAACGGAGAGGGAGGGTAACTCTGTCGAGCACCACTTTCCGTGGTGAACTCGGGTGAAAAAGTGCTGTAAGCTCAGATTCGGCTTCGGCTATTAGTATAAACGGACTGCAACGTAGAAATAAACTTCTCGGGCACACCCTTTTGAGCGGTCGACTGAGTCGAAAACCGCTTTCAGATCCAGGAAGATAGAACCCGTGGGTCTACGAAAAGAATGTCGGTGTTCCATAGTTTGGCGAAGATTGAAGATGTAGTCGATACAACCTCGACCATGTCTAAAATCAGCCTGATTCTCAGGCGTACACCGTTCACGTGCGGCAGATAATCGACGGAGTATGATACCGGTGAGAAGTTTAGAAGCAATGTTGATTAAACTAATTCCTGTGTGGGTTTTACAAGAGGTTATGAGGGGAGGAATCATCGAAGAATTCAAACGAAAGCTGTGTTGAAAACCGGTTTCATTTCCCGATGCATCAAGAGGTGTAGATTATTTTTCGATACCAATTTCGGCACAAATAAAGAGCGTTTGTCTAATACGTTCGATGGTTGCGATACCATAATCACCGTCATTATCGTACAACCAGCTGGAGTGGATAGAGAAGGGATTAATTTCGAGGGTGGGGAAAAAACGCCCATTTCTATGGTCAACACATAGAGTACACAGTCTAACTGTACACAAGCCTTCACAAGTACTCTGGTTTTATAAGAAGTGATCATAAGAACGCAACTGCTGTTGGTTCGCCGCCACATCCATCAGTGTCACCAACCAACCGGTTACGGAGTCTTTTGGACCCCAACTTGGAAGACGGGGGACACCTGTGCATTTCTTTATACCCTTTCATCACCCCATCTGTTGATCTCCACGTGACTTTCTTCAACCTTGAGCAGCAAAAGGGAATAACGTGCTGTGCGACAAACGACAGATAGGCATGCGCAACACGTGTCTTAACCGGCGAAGCCTACTAATCTGGCAGTAATCCGCCCACATGCAAATCATGGAAAGCTGATCTTTTTATAAGGGTCATTGTAACGTGATTTGTTTAGTAAACCGTCTGATATATATATATATATATATATATATATATACTGATCTGAATTCACTGTGATAACGAATTCTCCACCGAGTAATTAACAAATACTCGTCGGTTTACCACACTGTTACTTACACAATTGTTCCATCCAACTTGCGTCAAACTCCGTAAGCAGCGATGGTCGAAAATTTCCAGCTGATGATTGCCTTCTACGCACAAACTTCGGATCTCATAACCGTAAAATCAAACTGACTGTGACGCAGTATACGCAACTTTTCAGGTTCTAAGAGAAACCACATCAGCGACAACGGTGTTTCAGTCCAATGTACGCTGCTTGTGCCTTGGAAACGTGAGCGGTTGCTTCCTTTGCATTGTATAGCAATGACTTGTGCAAGCAATTATGCCTGTTTCAGCCAGTATACTGCTATCGTCATTTGTCATGAAACTAAATAAGTAGAAGAAGCAATCCACTATACTAATTTCTGACCATTGTCAGTGCCGCGGTAGACAGTCTTCCAGCAGCACTTTCTAATTTTAAGGTGCAAAGTAACATACTGAATGGGGCAATAGTGTAGAAACAATGCAGTTGATAGCAGAGCAGAAACTCTTCGGGGTGCGAATGGTTGGTTGAACCCAGCATATCATGGTCGGGCAAAGGGAGTTTTCTGGGAGAGGAAATTGTTGGGTCTTGTCTACCTGTGGCGGGAACATAAAGTCTTGGGGAATCCAGCTTGTGTGAAAGCGATATCTTCTGCCAGAAAACCACTTTTTGGCCCTGGATTGCTCATGCATCGCGAGGCCTTCGAAAACCTCAATATGGCCGGGGTGGGTGTCTGGGATTGTGACTGGTCACTATTTCCTTACACCTCGCGAAATGCTCCTATATGACCAAGCGTTTCAAATAGCCTCTGCTGACGAAGCCCTACTCACTGCCGTCTCGTGGCGGAGGTGTTTTACCACCAAAGTGAGAGGACGAAAAGCCGACATCCCAGGCTATAACCGGGTCGGTGAACCATTGGCAGTTCACCGGGAGTTGGCTAAAAACCGATTCCAAATCAACAGAGAAGAGGCGTAAGAACCACACATACAACTTCCTGGCTGTGGCACTGGTCACCGGCTCCATTGGGTATCGAGGTGTATTGGGCACCTTGGACATTTGACCCCGTCCAAAGGGCGTATGATCCAGTGAGCTGGACATCGGCTCCCAATGGACCNGGACTCTGAGCCCCGCCCTGTTGTCTTGCAGGTTTGGCTTTCTATCCAAAGGCTTCGGGTGGGGACCCCGAAGCTACCCCCCTTCCTCGACCAGGGCAACCGGGAAGTAACATGCCCACACAGCCCATGAACACATTCTTCAGACTTCTTTTTTTCATATATTGTGGTACATTTGCCAGATCTCTGTAATTGATTACGTGTTGAATAAAATTTTTAAAAATGTATCTCGAGCGCAGTTCTTATGATCTCTAGATTTGGTAATTGTACTGTGATTGTAAGACAGCAGTAGTTATTTCTGGTGTTCCGAGAGTTATTGCATTATTATGGAACCGTTTCCACGGTAGTTAAAGGAACAGGGGAGATGGATAACTTCTGTTGTCCAGACCTGACGAAATCCAATCAAATCCAAATTGTTGGCATTGAATGAGCAGCTGGAGAAAAGCTGTGCAATTTAGAGTACGTTGACGCCATCGGTTGACTGCTCGAATGTGAGGAGGGCTCGCAACGCGCATTTGACAATCTGATAAACTCTGCTGCTCCACTCAGTATGTTGCTTTGCACCTTCGAATTGCAAAATGCTACTGCAAGACTGTCTACTCCGGCTCTGATATTTGATGGTTAGAAATTAGTTAGTGGTTTTCTTCCACTACTTAGGTAGGTTCATGACAAACGACATCCGTAGCAGTGCTCGAAACAAAGAAAATTTGTGACATTCCTTATTTTTGTATGAACCGTGCATCGATCCATTTGTGCGAAAAGCCCTATGGGATAGGAAAAGCGAGCGCTTGTAAATAGTTCCCATAAAAAACCACGATTTTGACTTTGAGACCACTTGGTGCGTTTACCAGCACCTTGTGTGCGGTGAAGCTGTGTTTCGGCAAGACATTATTTCCCTGAACCGGGCGTCTTGTTGTGGAAGGAGCATGGGTATTATGCACGACTTTAAGTGAAGAAAAAAGGCTTGGTAACGAGGAATCTATGAACAGACATTAGGTTGGTTAAATCGTAAGGCGATCAGGGATTAGTTAGCAATCATTAATCATATGTATAGGGACATTTCGCACTGGTGTAGGTCTAGACTATGTGCCCGAAGAGATCACAATACAAATGTTGTGACTGGTGAGTAACCGAACGACCGGAGAGAGAAAAGGAGTAGAAAGAAAAATTCCATGATACAAGTCAACCGTCAGTTTATCAGTTTGAACAAGAGAGTGCTTTCCAAGTGGAGAATTAGGCGTAGGATCCCAGATTGGCGTGAAAAATTTAGCCTCAAATTCGGTTTTTCACCATAATGTAAATTCCGCAATTACACACCATTTACTACTGTTAACTATTAATTCATTAGATGTAAACCAATGAACCTTAGAAAAACACTGAAAGGTGATGACGTAAGGCTAGCGAATAAGTTTACAACGATGACTCCACTTGGTTGAGCGCTACCTTTTTGTTTTTCCCTCCTCTCAAATGCGAGCGAGAAAGCGTTGTGCACAAACCACTGCATCAAACAGCCAACAACTGCCACTAGAGTATGCTGGAGGAAAAATATGTACAACACTGCTACAAAACGGATATCATATTCCGTAAAAATAAATAAATAATATTGCGCGATTTTCCGTTTTTTGGGTCAATATATGTGTGACAAAACCTATCCCGTGTGAGTTAGTCGGTATCTCGGTTTTATAACTGAAGAATCTTCCGTACCAGAGCAGCCCACTGAGNCACTGAGAGGAACAACAGTAACGCTGGTAAGATATGTTATGCCGACGGAGATATTTCAAAAGAAGCCCAATTGGTAGGCCCTAGGAAGAGCGCCCAGACAATGAGTTGGGAAACAAGTGAGCATCAAAAGGCTTTTGCTTTAGTCGTTTTAACTTGTCCGATTGCGAGGATTCGTCTAGCCGACGCTCCAGATAGACCATATGTAAATGTATTCCCCAGTTCTCACAAATCCTGTCGGATTCCGTAGACAGTATTACTTCGTAAACGAAACTAATACAACAAACATGATCCGATGAAACGGAAAAACCATCGCGCATCTCGCTTTCGGTCATGCCTACAATTGGCCCTATTTAAACAAACAATGGCACATTGAAAAGCACAAATCCCAAATGGAGGCCGTGAAGAGCTCCTATCAGTCGAGAGGTAATCAGTAAATATGTGGATTCCTGTGAATCTTTACTAGAATACAGTGAACTAAGCACTGTTGACGAAGTTCATGTGGAGTGATCGAAAAGTTAACATTTTGTCACTTTGTTTTGTGGATAAATGCCTCTGAAAGCCTCAAAATGGTCGGGACGGGTGTCTCGGCTTGTGTCTGATCACCCTTCCCTAATACCTCACGAAATGCTCCTATACGATCCAGCATTTCAAACAGCCTCAACTGAGAAAGCCTTACTCACTGTCTTCTCCCACCAAACTGAGAGGACGAAAAGCCGACATCCGGGGCTATAACCGGGCCGATGAACCACTCGTAGTTCACCTATTGGAGATGGCTAAAAACCGCGATTCCAAACCAACCAAAAAGAGACGTACGAACCCAAAACACCCACACCTTCCTGGTCTTAGCAGTAGTCGCCTGCTCAATCGGGCATCGAGGTTTAATGGGCACCTTAGACTCCGTCCAATGGGCGAACGATCCAATGAACTAGACAACGGCTCCCAATAGACTAAGGACTCTAAGCTACGTCCTGCTGTTTTGCAGGTTTGACCTCCCAAACAAAAGCTTCGGGTGGGGACCCCGAGGTTATTCCCCTTCCTCGATTAGGGCAATCGGGAAGTAACATGTCCACACAACCTATGAACACATTTTACGAACGTTTTCTTCATATGTTGCGGTACATTTGCCACTTCTATGTAATTGGTAACGTGTTGAATATATGTATATAAATATAGAAAATTCCAGCATGAAAAATACAACTTAACAGTTCACAATAAGATATTTTAATGAGTTTTGTGCGAAAACTAACACCAAATTATAAAGGGCGGATGAAAACAAACGAAGGACAAATTACTTGAACGGGACGTAACTGAGCTTACAATGGGTTAACAGTTGGTCTTATTTCCCAGTTCCAAAGATGCAAGAAGGGATAGTCAATACAGTCGAAAGGACTGTGTTCCCGTAGGATTTAGATCATAAAACAAGTAGGTAATAGTGAGGACGAAACCAAGGAATCTAGCGATGATAGACAGACAGACAAGCGAACCCAGCCTATTGCATTAATTCTTTTAATTATTAGTTTAACTGTAGTTGCATGCTAACTGTTTAGAGTCATTTCAGGGTTGATCAACCAAGTTACAAACACGGAGACAGAGGCGAATTGACGGATGCAATTAGAATGTGAAAATGTTGAACTTACTGATAGCTTGGGTGTAACAGGCACAATGTGATCACTTGAATTGCTTTCGGGTGTTCAAAAACCATTGAACAACCGCGCTGAAAACGTAAGATANGGGGGGGGGGTCGAGTGTAAATAGCATGACAGGGTTGAATGGATAAAGAAAAAAATCCGTACACTGAGCGTGAAAACTGAATAGCGTTTTTAGGTGTATTGATATCAAAACCACAAGATCTTAGGAGTTGATAACACCCAATGCGTACGACATAATGATGATGATCAATGAGCTGGAAGGGTTGAGTAGCATTAGCATATGAGCACGCACATAGAAAACATAAGTAATACCTCACTCAAGCAGTGATGATGAATGAAGTTCCGATCAAACAAGACGAAATAACTGTACTTGAAAAAGGAAGCCAAAACGAGCAACTCAATAACTTTTACGGTCAACATCACCTAACGTACACACCACATGGACAGTTTTATGGTCAATTATGGTGATATCTTAGTGAAAATTAAGGAACCCATATCTGTCTAGCACCCCGAAATTTTGACAAAACAAGGAACTGATTTTAAATTTGCAATAGCAATAGATAATTTGCCTATAAACTGAAATTCCTATGTGAAACCGTATTTGAGTAAGATACGGTCGAAGATCGGACAACATGACACTAATAAATTACTAAATTTGACAGTCGAGGGATTTTTACATTGCATACAAACAAACCCGAGAGGAAACAAAACCAAGCCTAATCTACCGGAGCCTTAGGTGGTTCACCATTCCAAGTCTCGGGGCTTAGGGTACCGATTACCATCCATGAACAGCAAGTCTTCGTGACTACGGGGTCCTGCCAGTCTCCTATTTATCACACAAATGAGTTTGATAAAAAGGCATCATTGACTGCATCGTGAACCGTGAAATAAAGTCACATCATGTGCAGTCAATGGGTCGCATCATAAAACCAATAAATTAGTATTCAACTTAAAAATATCGCGCATCCAAGTCACAGCATCCTAAACATTTCCATTGCATTGGAATGCATTTACCTCGTGAGGAATTACCGATCTCCCAAGGAGTGAAACTCACACCCAAAATCATCAAGAGTGCCTGGTGCCTCTGAAAACTCGAATGGCCTAATCCAAGCTTGATACTCTAAGTCACAGCATATTCATCGAGGTGAAAGTAAGTCCATAATTATTCCTATCGGTAAAATGATGCAAACGATTAGCTAACTTCCTCTCTTCATGGATGCACTAAGTGAATCGATGGAGGATATGTTTCGGACGAATACAATGTATGTGAGAACGGTCTTAAGAATAAGCACCTAACGATTTTCAGTCAGAAGTTCCATCGGTAAAATCCTTGTGTTCAAACAAATACCACATACATAAATTTTCCGATTGTACTTCCTGGGGTACCAACAACCTCCGTATGCCCCGAATAAGAAGGATACCAGTGTCATTGTTCAAGAGGATGCAAGTTGTTCTTTAAACTGTTGCAGGGTGTCGTCCGCCACTGAAAGACATGTTGGCTTACTGAAGCGAGTATTTGGCGAATTGAAACCTATGCTGTTCCCACGTTTCACAGCCTACATTCAACCCCATTAGAATACGAATTTCGCGTCAACACGCTTCAACATGATCGTAAGATTCTGGAACCTCCACAAAGAATGACCACCAAAATGGTCAAAGGACTGCATTTTAAGACTTATTTGGAAAGACTGGAACCTTTGGGGTTGTACTTCACACAGTATCGCCGAATTCGAGGGGAATTGATTTTGGTATATGGAATAATGCAGCAACCTGATTAACCATGTCGTTCACTGTTTGCCTTGTCACCTAACATTCACCTCACGGGGCACTCATTCAAAGTAGTGCTCCAAACATGTCGACTAGAATGCAAATATAATTCATTTGGCCTCAGTGTACAGTATTTTAAATTCTCTACCACCTCACAGTGTTTCTGCGCCTACAATTGATTCTTTTAAGCACAAGCTGAATGAAATATTGTCAAGTTTTAAATTTCGATATCCGTAGCAAAGCACGAAACAAAGAAAATTTGTGACATTCCTTATCTCTCTATAAACCATAAATCGATCCATTTATGCGAAAACCCTACGGGATAAGAAGAGCAACAGTTTGTTAATATTTCCTATAATGAAATTTTGACTTCACCGATATTAAAGACAACAAAACCTCTAGCTCAAGGCTGTCTTCTTTACGCCAAATTGAGGTCTTATAGACGTAAAAGCCTAATTGAGTGCACACGATCCTTGGATTTGAGTAGAGTATAACCTCAACACCAAAGTTGCTTCAATTTCATAGTTCACATAAAATGAAGGGGTGAAAAAGAGACGGTGACTAAGTTGCGAATGAGGCTTTCTGTCTTGAAAAGGATTTGACCTAAACGACCAGGGTGATAACGGACATTGTCCGTGTTCATGAATGTACGCAAAATCAGATGTGTAGACGAAGCAAAGGAACGTGTGATATCTAGCTAGATTACACCCAAAGTCAACTGTCGTGTTATGGCAGGTGGCAATTACACCAGTAGTTGTTAAAACGAACCACATTATTGCCGCACAAACCGAGCTTATCCACCCGGATTCGGTGGAAAACGATGACGCATCATAAATTCCTGATCTCAAATCAGAAGAATGAGGTCAAAAGATACGGGAATCGAACACACGAGTGACATAATTGGAAGGCACCACCAAACGTACTGGCTGTTCATCTAATTTGGGGACAAATAACCTGCATAACGATAAGAAAAAATAAAACAAAAATAAACGCCATTTGCTTTAGTTCCTTTGACGTGAAAGCACTCAAACCTGGATGAGAATAAAAAAGCACATAAACACACCTGATTATTCAATATGGCTCGAAAACACTTTACGGCTTGATGGAGACTGTCCCAAACGGGATCCGAGGGATGACCTATCTGTGTCGCGCGTCTATCTTTGACCTTCGAATGACCAGTACACCAGAACGAGCGCCATATTGAACGACCGGACGATGCGGATCGACTGATCCCATTCGCAAGCAGCAAATCGGGATCCGAACCAAGCGAAGTGAACTTGTCGTCGGAATGATTGCGTATGCCAAGTATATCAGAATCCGACCTAAATAAAAATAAAATGACGATAGTAATCTTCTTTAAAAACAGTTTTTGCTTTCATTTTCCCGCTATTGATAAACGTGGTTAGTGTTTGGATTTGAGTGAAGCACACTTCCAAATGGAAAAAGTTATTTTCGGGACCTATTTAAGTTTTCCCTACCATATATTGTACCATTATAAAATCAGTAAAGTATTCTGTAATGTACTCTTTTCTCAGTTCAACACCAGACAATTTGGCTTTAAAGAAATTATTTGATGCGATATCACTACAAAGTCAGTGTAGTAGACAGTATATCAAGGATAGGTTAACTTTAATTTATCCATGGTTTGTTTTGATAAATTATTTAAAAGCATAATTTATCTTGTTCATCGGCTACTAGCATCAAAAAGATTTCGTTCCGCCAGAGGTTGAAACAAGGCAACTTGAGGTTGTCAGTAGTCCTATAAAGTGAACCGTCATGTTGCATAGATGATAGAACATTCTGTGGATTCATATGGTAATGGTGACCATAGATTTGGAAGGTGAAATTGTTCGCTCCCAACTGAATGCTGAGGGATGAAAAAAACTGAAAAATTAAAGCCCTCGCGACAAAAAGGGCAATCTTCGAGAGATGGATTTGCACACAGTGTTCTTGAAGAAAATTTAAAAACTTCCCAGAATGAAAACAAAAAAGAGAACAGGTAGAATCCATTTAAAAATATCGGTTTTGTGTTAAACCTTCTAAACATGGCAAAGGATTCATGCATCCCAGGTGAAGGGCCACATATATATGATTTAACAGCTAGAAACATGAATCGTGAATCGGGGCTTTGCATTATATATATATATATATATATATATATATATCACACATTTGACGCCAGACTGTGTCAAACAAAACATGGTACAATAATCTTTATAATAAGAAAACCATTCCATGATTTTCATTAAATTAGATCAATAATTGATTTATTGCAACCTTTTTCGAAGGTGAACTTACCGCATGAGTAAATTCAGCACGCGAGACACATAGGTTACTAGAACCCTGAGTCCATCTCCATCTAAGAAGTCATACACCCACCTGAGAATTTATAGAGAACAAAATAAATAACCTACCGGACGTTGTTCGTACGCAGCGAAATTTCCGTTGCAGAGAGAATTTCCTTCGCATCTTGGTCATCTGAACCACGAATACTCTGATGCAAAAATAATGAAAAGTTTGACCTAGATATAAACGTACTTTAGTCAAGGTAGGACGCCCCACACGTAAACCCTTTATGCGGCATACATAATAAAGTGCCGAGCGATTGGGATTTTTCGCAACCTAAATACAGAATACCAGGTTACTCATGAAAACATACGTAGCTCTCGAGAAGATGACGTTTCTGGTCGGAAGGTAGCTGCTCTATCCCTTTAGCCTTATCCGGGCCGACATCCAGCGACTGCATAAAACTGGCCCAGTTGTGTTGGAACTCGGCACTGCCTTCATCATTCATGACTAAAAATGATCAACAAATGAGATCAAGCAACGAAATTCTCAAAAGTAGTTCCCGAATATACAACAGCACATCGATAACAAAACCATCGAAGGGAGCTCAGAACAACAATAAGAATGAATGTTTCACTCCGCTCCGTGGGTGTCACACCCAGGTAAAACGTTTTTTTCATATTACAAACGAAGTGATTTACATCAAAAAGAGTAAACCCCATAAGAGGGACGTATGTGGGAGAACATTCAAGTAAGAATCAATTTGTTAATCCTGCTTTTGAAAAGGGTAAGGTTATAAGAGCTGGGAAACACGGAAATGGGAAGTGTTCCATAGTTTTGCAGTCCTCGGGAAAAGGAGATGGAAAGGTAGAATTCCGACATCTGGGAACAGAAACCTAATAAGTGACTGGTCGCCTGAGAACGAGATGGACGAGAGGTCAATGGAAGGGAAACCGCTGAAGCGGGTTTGGAAGAGCAGAAACCAAATTAAAGACGATAGCAAAGGGATAACGAAGCAACTGCCCCGTGATGGGAAAGCGGCTGCAAGGTGGAAGTTAAAGACGGTTCGTCAATCAGCCGGATGGCTTTACGTTGAACACGGT